ACAGGATGGGTTAGTAATTTTCTGATAATGCACAAAAGCAGCAAAAGTCAAAAGATTTGTCATAAGTTTAAAAAAAGTGACTCTCCATGTGATTCACAAACCACAGATCTTAAATACAAGATAAAAGCGTCACAATACAAAGGCACAAAGCGTGTGTTTGTGCATACATGCACTTGTGGCCGGCTTCACATGGACCTAAGGGGATGTCTTGTCTTGTTTACATAAAGCTAGTGGTTTGTATTACCACAGACAATGATTGTGTTACAATGAATGTGTGCTTCTGCTTTTCTGTAAACTAAGATGAGATCCACTGCTGTTATCTGAGATACAAAAGAACTACATGTTGTAATGTCTCATTTACACTGTTTTAGAGTCAACTTACTTACACAGTAAAGAGTCTGCAAAAGATAAATGAGACTAAAGAGTCAGGAAGTCAGGTCAAATGGATTGTCACCTCAAGTGATATATTTCTTGTTTCATTTACTGCTCCTAAACCTTCCTGGCTCTGACTAGTGTACACTCGCAGAACTTCACATCTTATTTTTTGAGTGTTGGATCCTGAAGTAAACTGTCAATACTGAGGTATGTTCCACATGAGATAATATGTCCATACAGACTCATAGAATGGGTCAATGCAATACCATCTCCTCTATCATTGTCCTAAGAGTCAGGAAGCCAACGAAGAAACAAGAGGAGGCTAAACAGAACAGACAGGCTGGCTACACCCTTTACCTCAAATCTATAACTCATCACCATCAACACAGAGGGATCCCCAGCTTCTGAGTGAATCTGTTTTCTGCTAATGCCCCAAATCAGCAACAGAAAATGTTGTTTTTTTACCTGTTATGTTCTAAAATGTGATATTAACAACATGTTATATCATGAAATTGAAACTGTTTTGATGCTGTTTATGGTCAGCAATTTTTCTGCATAGCATTCAAGTGGAGAACCACAGGTGGTTTTTCTTGTGAAACAGCCACAGGAAAGGCATTTTATTTGTAAATGAAGTCAGCACTAACAGTGATCGTTAATGAAAGATGCATTGACAAATAAATCAGTTTTAAATATGGCAGCCAGTAATGAAACAATAAGCTGCAACAATAACCTCCAACTCCTGAGCAACATAACCAAGTCCCATAACAGATTGATTACTGACTGACTTCTTAGTTAAAATAATGTTTGTTTGGTTTCACTATAACGTGTACAGATGTGCTACTGACACACAAATTGGTCCTCAGTTGTATTACCCACAAAGCAGTTGCTCAATGACTGTTGAAAAATGAGACAAGACAGAAAGTTTAATTTTCATTTCACAGTAACTAAAACGCTTAGTTAGGAAACATTGCTGCTACGATGAAAAGAAGATAACTTTACTTGTTGCCTTTCTTCATAAAGGACAAACTACTTTCTGTATTTCCATTGCAATGTTGGCATTGACTATAACTCATGCGCTGCACAATCATCCAACATGAACATAATGTCTAGGGATACTGTTAAGAGTTTCAACAGAGCTGTAGTCCATGTTCAACATTATGTGTAAGTAAAGTGTATAAGTGGCTTATTCATGCACTTTCATTCATGCATTCATGACTCTACTTATACGACTGTCTCTGTAAGGAAGCTAAATCAATAGAAATGCTGTCTAATGGTCTCCATCATCAATAATAGAGTGAGGCTGAGAATTTTTTGGCTCCTACAATGTTCAGCATCTCAGAAAGCCTGCATCTGTTTATTAATATCTTTCTGTATTTATTTCACCATACAACTTGGTAACCGTACACACCCAACTCACACTGCAATGTAAACAATACAAGGATTCATGCAGATCATATGGTGCCACAATCTATGTAATGGATAGCCTGTGGCTGGCTTTTAAGCCTGCACAAACGCACACACACTTTCAAAACACATAAAACAAAACTCAGCAGTCCACTTTGATAATACTGCAGACAGTCCCATGACAACACCAGTGCTGTTCTTTGGTAAAATATCTGAGAATGGATTCTGCTTGGGGCGGATGGTAGAAATAGTATAGAAAGTACCGGTATGCATTTGCCCTAAAGTATGGCTTTTGACTACTCCATGCAAACAGAAAGTGGAAATAACGTAACTAAACCAGTGAGATGCAGCAATGCAGTAAACTGTGACTAGTCTGCCAAAAAAAAAGAAGATTGTGGCAGCGAACTGTCTGGAAAATCATGAGAGCTCATGCTGCTTTGTTTGGAATCAAAGAAATGGCTGAAAGTGATGAACATGATGAAGAGGAGTTGGTAAAAACAACAAGCATCTTCAACGATATGGACATGGTTCAGATTTAAAAAGTCAGACAACGAGAAGAACACTAATACATGGCAAATTATGTTTGACGACAGTGGTTGCAGTGGTTTTAAGAAAAACAAATATACCATGAGACATACTGTAACTGTCCTTCAAATTATACCATGATATAAATTTTAGGCCGTTCCCAGCCTTGCATTCTGCCTTTCATGGACACTGTGCAGATTTCTAGCAGAGAACAGCTGCTGTCATGAGCATGACATGGAAGAGGAAAAAGGTGGCTGGACCAGAAGAAATGCTAATGATTAACTTTCTGTTAATCAGCTAATTTATGCACGGCAATGGTCCCACATGTGTTCAAGGCGAAATGTTTGGTGTCCAGATTTTATTGCTCTGCTTAATCAAACAATCAGGATGGAAAAACCTGCTCCAGTTAAAAAGGATTGTAGTTGTTTGCATGATAGATATCCATTAAAAAAAAGTTAAGTAAGCTCAGGGCGTGTCCACTCTTAACATGCATCATAATTGTGATTCCATGTATTACCCACATAACTCATCGACTGACTTAATGAGACATCCTTAATCAAATAAATGAAGAAAATTGATTACACAAGCATCCTTCTCTGACCATTCAGGACAAGTCCGATTTACACTAAACGACTCCTGTCTTATCTCTATCTCTATCTTAGAAACCAAAACAGGAAGTTCTCACGCTTGAACAAAGCAGACACAGACACACAAATTTCTCTGCTGCAGCATGATTCGAACCATCTGATTGATGAAATCATCAGCAGGCACAGATAAGAGAGGTATGTCACTGGACACATAATGCAACCTCTGCATTTACAGTACATTAACAGACACGCTGAAAGCCCCAGCTGGAGCCTGAGTCTCTTCACTTAGAAGTCAGTGGAGGGCTCTGACTGAGGGACATAAGCTGGCAAGAACAATCACTTCGCAAAATACTGTTTTAAGCTTTAATATTAAGAGACAAAATTGCAATTACAGATGATAAATAAGAGGAGGATCCTCCCGTGCCACACACTGGCCTGCTCTCAACAACATGCCAGTAAATACACATTTACCACGGCATTGCAATCGTCTAATGTTTAAAACGAGTCAATTTGTTTTTCTATTAAGGTGGACCCACCCCAAAAGCAGCGGGAGGTACAGGTGAAGGCAGCCAACTGAACCAGGATTTATATTTTGTTTATGAACTGAAAACACACTGTGGTTTTTCACACTTTGCTGCAGGTGTAAAATCTGTCATCTTACATTTTACGGTAAAACAAAAGTGCATGCATCCTTGCAGCTGATCCAAAACCTCAGTCAGCATCACATCGCACAGTCTCCTCTCAGCATCAGTGCTTTCATTGAGCTGTTCACCTGACTAGGAGAAACTCTCCTGCTGTCTTTCTGCTCTTCTGCCACCATTCACCACAGAATCCATGACCACAGGGGTTAATATGGGAATAACACCCAGTGTCAGGTGCAGACGAGCCACAGCCGTGTGACCTTACAGTGTAACGGAGCTCAGCAGGAGCTTTGACCTCTGCTGTAGGCCATCTGCTTCAGGTCAGCCAGTGCATTATGTAAATGAATCGCACCATGTCAGGCAAACAGGTGGAAGTGCTGCAGAATTAATTCAATTTGTGGCAAACTATGTTTTGATGCTTTTTTTCTCTGCTACTTTTCACATATATGAAATGAATGAAATCGAAAGTTGTTCAATTATTATATCAGTGTTGTTTATTCCCTTCGGATGCTGCACCACATAACTGTTGTCTTTGAATTTGTCACTGCAGCTGGGTATTTTTTGTGAGTTACTGATGCTGAAACATTAACTTTAAAGCACAAAAAGAAAATCACCTCAACAACATTGTTCTTTACAGCTGCCCTCTTTATTTACAGACCCTGTCAATTAACATACCTCTGTGCAAGACTCCCTTTGAGAAAGTGCTTTAGTTAAAGTTGATAGCAGCCCTCTATTATCAGAATAGAATCCCCACAAGGTTCACTCACATACAATGGATTCTTTGTGTACTTCCATGGCAACTCCAAAAGCTGCTCTCCACCTTGCTAACCTAATTTACCCCCCATTATGAACAGTTTCCACTGGTTTGTCTTGGATTTTGGCAGGAAAGCTTTGGATTTCCTTCCATACTGTAAAATATGATTACTCAAAGGAAAATCGCTTCTCAAAAGCAACGAAGTGTCTTTAACACCTGTTGTCCTGCTTTTCGGATGCTTCACCGTCCAAGCAACATCCCCAAACAATTTCTAAGGTTCGTCAAAAACAATACATGGAAGCAACATGTTGCAACAAGCAGGATGTGCACCAGGATGTGGGTTTCAAACTGCATGACTACCGAGCAACACCAACCAGCTGAAACGGCACAACCGAGTCCACGGCGGCTGCTCGCGTCATGTGGAGGGTGGAAACGCTCCGTCCACTCCCAGCGCAGCAGCACCACCAAAATCCGTGATAACCGCACCACATTTTCAGACGGTGACGGTCACTGAATGAGCCGCTAAACTGGCTCACAAAAGAACCATGCCGCCGCCGCCGCACAGTCCTCTATTCTCCCTCACGTCCACCATCACGGAGGAAAAGTTTATTTAGGTGGAGCCTCACCGCGCGCCTCACGGAACCAGGCGGTGAAAGACACGCTGGCAAAAAAAAAAATGTTCCCCCTGTTGAAAAATGTTGAAGGAAAGCTTACCTTTGTACTGCAGCGAGTTGCTGGTGCGTATTTTCACAGTCCCGCTTATAGACTCTCCCGGACCGTAAACCACCTTGTTGTTGGTAAAAGTGATATCAAATTCTTGAAGCTTTCCCATGGCTCCGCTCCGTTAATCCGCCACTCTGAGTCTCTGAAAGCGCGAGGAGGCGATGCTGCGATCTCACCTGCTGCCGCGAGCTCCCTTGGAGACCACTGACGTCACTCTGACTAAAACCCATTGAGAGTAATGGGAGGGTAGATAACTCATGTACACTGGTTTATGGGTAGGGTGTGAAAATCTCTCATATACTTCCGTTTCAGAATAATTTGTGGTAAAATAAATAATAAATGAATAAAAATATAAATTAATAAGATAAAAATAAAGAAGAAAATAGAAGAAGAATAAAATTATCATCCACAAAGGTCAAACAGGTCAAGTGTCATTAAAAACAAAATCTTTATCCTGTGATATACCTGAATGTTTAACAGAGTGCACAGGTGTATCCTCATGACGCACTTCATGATAAATTTTGTACATTCGACACATTCTTCATGAGTGTATCATTACAATGCATTTCCTGACCTCATGAGACCATGCTTGCTACCCGTGGCTGCACCAACCTGCTGCCCCTGTTCCTCCCACTTTCTGTACACTGTGTGGAGTTTTTCCATGCATTCCATGAATTCTAGCTCGCCCTAGATTTGCTGTGTGGTAATGTGATTACACCCAAAATCATTTGGATTATGTCACATGTAAGCACAAAAAAATATGTATGTAAAAACCTATCCTTGACACAACGACCTCTCTCACAACAGGGCCTCCAGATCGCACCATGTGATCTGCTGACCTACAGTACAGTAAGATTGGGTCTTCTGGGGCTCCAGGGAGGTAACCCAGCTTTCCCAGTTGGTATTCCAGCCTTGTTGGCATCTAATTGTGCCGGTGCTACGTTATGGGTTTGTCCCTATGGCAGAGTCCCAATGACAAGCACCTTACTTTGAGAGTACAGGGATATTTCACATCCACCAAGGTGAAAATGCATTGTTGTGGGGGACTGAAATGATACATAAAGCTGTCTCATTTTACATTTGTTACAAGAATAACCATGCTGATAAGAAGAACACAAAACCTGGTATTTAGATGTAGAGTGGTAGTGTTGCAATTCCTGTTAAGAGCCCTTTTTTGCGTTTAGTGAATACATAATCATAATACCATTTTGTATTAACTATTATTTAGCAAATTGTGCACCAGAAAACATCAATCAAATAGAAAAATAGGTCAAAACTTCACAAATAAACGTTGCATCGAAGATTTAATACTACAGCTGTCTGCAGAGTGTTGCACTACTGTCCACCACATTTTCATTTTCTTCCTTCTTTGTGCATTGTGTGACCAAAAGTGTTCATCAATAGCACTCTCACAAAGTGAGTATGACTTAACACAAAGACGTAGCACAGTACTTCACATGGCTCATACACTTCCCATGTCTGTGTACACTTCCTGTCTCTGAGAGTACTTCCTGTCTCAGTGTGCATCATCAGTTGTTGGAACAGATGCATAGAAAGCTCACAGAGAAGATTATTTGATCAAAGCATCACTTCACTTATACTTTTCATTGTGGAGCTTCCACATGTTGCATTTACAAGAAAATTCCATCAAACACGAAGCGACAGACTGACAGACATCAACTCGCTCTCTCTCTCTGCCTCCCTCTTCCTGTCATCATTTCACCAGGCTGCGAATATTCCTGGTAAAAGCTTTGAGACAGATGTTTCCATGACGACAGACAAACACCATGGTTGCCAAGTTACTGCCTGTATCCATGGAAATCTGGTATGCTGTGTGGCATCTGATCCAAAGAATCATTTTTTTGGTGTTTACTCCTGTTGTGAAACCTCCTCTCAAACAGTTTGAATAATGAGTCATTTTGACTCTGCAAGGTTGAAAGTGAGAGAGGATCATATGTCAGGAAGTAACAGGATAAGATGTTAATGCCATATGTCAAGTACACTCAGCATCAAGCTGAGGTGAAAACATGCCAGTACTGAGAGTGCAATGACTGATTCTCATTCATGTCTTTGCTGCCTTTTTGCATCCTTTTCCTTTTGTTGTTTCCTCAAGGTTTTAAACCACATTTCATTTACCCCTTCTTAAAGTGCTGCACTGATGGCTCTGGTCTGCTGTGACACTGACCTTTTGTCAGGTGGTACTGACTGGTGAATTGCACATTTTTAACTGTACAGTCATGGTGAGAGGGATTGAGATGAAAACTATATGAGCTCCACCTGGTGGACAATTGCCAGAATCCATTTACATCCCGCAGTGCAGTAGTGCAGTGGTTCTCAAACTTTTTCACCAACACAAATTAGACCACAGACCTCCATCTGATATGATATTTGCTTTCAGATGTGTTATTACAGACAGTGTTTGAAACCCATGACTAAATTGGCATACATTCTGTCATTGTGAAAATAAATGATTCCCTGTTTTTGCTGGGGAGTCCCAGGAACCCCCTCAAGGAGCCCTTGGGGTTCCTGGACCCCTCTTTGAGAACCTCTGAAGATAGAAATAATAACTGGGCGACAGTGACAAACACAAACGCTGATATTTTATAACAAATTCCTCAATATCAAAATATACTGTAATTATATATAGGGATCCCTATCGGTGCTTTAAGAAACACCTAAATCATTTTTAATGTGAATGACCAAACAATTCAAACTAACTCTGTTGAGTTAAATCATTTAAAAAAAACTGTAAATTTACTGTAACACAGCCTTGAAAACCTGAACATTTACAACATTTAGAATACAATAATCACAATATATATTGCTTTATAGGCCTTATGCTTTTGACTTTCTATACCAATACCCTGATATTGTGAAGGAACAAACAAGCACGAAAGAACAGAGACAAGAATAGCACCATTGTCTTTATTTCAAACTAACACCTGTAACACAAGCTCATTCATATTTTAATGCAGAATGATAAACATGTAAGCTCAGAAAAACTATAACACATGGTTATTTCCCATTCTGACAAAGCTGCTGTGCAAAACATTAAATGTCTCCTTTCTAAAGACAGTTACAGTACTGAAGAATTACCTGTCTGTGCACATGGAAGTCTATACTATATGGCTAAACTTAGATCAATAAACATACCATCACAATAACCATTAAGTCTGCATGCCTTAATTTCTTCATCTTGTGTCCACCTCAGGTGAACTCACAGAGGAATATATATTTATTAAACATTGCTACATAGCCAGTACAACAGGCTGCACCTTTCTCCTACTTGCACTCCTCATCCTCTTCTGGATCCAGCAGGCAGGTGCACGCGATGACCTTTGTCACGAGGTATGGGTCACAGTTTGCTGCAGGGCGGCGGTCCTCGAAGTACCCTCTCTTCTCTTGGCCCACCTGGCGGGGGATACGGATGCTGGCGCCTCGGTTGGCCACTCCAGCAGAGAAGTCTGTGATGCTGGAGGTTTCGTGGAGACCTGTGAGACGTCTGGTGTTGTCCTGGCCTCCACGGGGGTCATACACACGGATGTGCTCGATGTGTTTTTTGCTCAGTTTCTCGATGGCCTGCTCGATGTATCTGTCAGAGGAAAAGCAAGACTGAGTTATGGCCGCTGCAGTGACTGTGGATGAATAGTGTCCATTTATAAACCACAATAATAAAAGTTTACTGTTTCATACGAGAGTAGGTTTATTCATCTCTGTGTATAAAGTAGAAAATATAACGATGTATGTAACTAATCTCATATTTTTCTAATGTATAAACCTGCAGTGTCTATCACAAACAACAACAGGTATACCTGTGACCTACCATCACATTTTTCCTGTGAATGAGATCTGTCTGCTTAAACCTGCAGTAATAGGTTTTTTTCACCACTTGGGGGCAGCAGAAACAGGTAATGAACACAACACTGACATATCAACAACTGTTACAGAGATATGGTGTAATTATTAGCAATCAGTTGCCTTTTTTTTTTTACACATATAGCAGATACAAACTAACACTGGTGTGGAGTCATTATTCTTGTCACGTGATGAACACTCTCCTTTAAGCTCTCTTTTCAGTCTCCACAAACTCCTGAGGGAAATGTCTGACTCCTCAGCTGCAAAACGCTCCACTGCGGTAACCAGCTAGTCTCTAACTGTGTATATCAGCTGTTAGGTGCTGAGCAGGTCGAGTACAGTAGGTTCATCCCATCTTTTTTGCTGAAAACAGCTGCCTACAGATTAAATTTAGGCTTATTATGCACTCCAGAAAACCAAAGCAATGACCTCGAGTTATAAAGCTCCATAGAACTGAACAAAACTGCAGAGAAGATTGATAATGCACTTTTCACTATGAGTGAACCCTTTCATATACAAGTAGACATGTGAAAAATATTGATTATAGCTGCTTTAAGTTCCAAAATTGACAGATGCTCAATTTACCTGAGTTAAGTTCCAAATGCCTTGGCTTACAGTCCATACATGATTAGTTCTGAGTTTTTTCTCTAAACTTTTAAGTACATAAGTAATAAAAAATGATTGAGTTGTAGATTTGAAAGAATGTGAAATTCAGGGGTTAAGTGAAAAATGTATCTATGTGGTGTAACTTGAGAAATTTCAATGCTTTGTGTGTCAATGTAAAAATGTAATTAGTTGGATCAGCTGCTGCATGTTGTCATGTTGGTTTTGTTACTGCAAATACAGATAAAGTCAAAATAAGGGCACACAAAGTAAATTAAAAGTGACACTATCATCATTTTTTTTATTGTACTATATTGTATCATATTCTATCAAAACCAAATCAAAAATAGCTTTTATTGAAATGTCAAATGACAAGAAAGTCATAGTGAATGTTTTAGCAACTGCTGTATGAGACACCATTTACCAGAACATTAAACTTTCTTCATCAAATGGAAAACTCAAATAATTAAAAATATAACTTTTGGATGACAAAAAACTAAAAATAACTTAATTATTGCATGAATTACTGTCATATGAAGTTTCAAAGGGAGTGTTTACTCACTGCAGTCCGTCTTCTTCCCTCATCTGCTTGGTGCTGACGTTCGTGTGACAACCGGCACCGTTCCAGTTGCCCGTAATTGGTTTGGGGTCCAAAGTTGCAACAACCCCAAAATCTTCACACACACGGTGCAGCAGGAAGCGTGCGACCCACAGATGGTCGCCCATCTCAATACCCTCACAGGGACCCACCTGGAACTCCCACTAAAGTCCAAAGATGCATGGGAAAACAAAGATGGATAAAACAATCATTCATTTTGAATGGATGATCATGCCAAGACGAAGTCACTGTGCATCAGAATAACGCTGACACTTACCTGAGATGGCATAACTTCAGCATTGGTGCCACAGATTTTGAGCCCTGCGTAGAGGCAGGCCTTGTAGTGACACTCCACGATGTCCCGTCCATAAGCATTGTTTGCCCCCACGCCACAGTAGTAAGGGCCTTAAAGTGTGGGGTCAAGGTGGGACTCTTATTAAGACTAAATAAATACAAAACTACATATATACCACTTTAATAAACAATCATGTCTGTTGTATTAGTATTATATATAGTATAGTAAATTGTATTGTTCTGCTGGCTCTGCAGCTCTTGAGCTAGATCTTTTCAGTGGCTTCTTACTGCTCTGTTAAGTAAATGTAAGACATTATTTGAGATTATAAAAAACTTATAAGGCATCATTATTAAACATGACTGCCCTAGGTTTCAATATAAGATACCAGTGCTCCAAAGAGGATATAAGAATGACTGCTAACTCACCCTGGGGTGATGGGTATCCATTTATGGGCCAACTAAAAGGATGTCCATCTGTCCCGAAGAGTGAGTACTCCTGCTCCATACCAAACCACATGCAGTGCTCTTTAATTTTCTCCATCACCTTGTTGCAGCTAGCTCGATGGTTACTCTCTGGACGACAAAGACAAAAATCAGGACAACCTGTTTGTCCCGAGCCTACTGAACGGGTTCAGTAAAATGTTATCAAAAATTTGAAAAACATACCTGTAGGCAAACGGTTGTACTTGAGGACCTCACAGAGGACCAGTTTGTTGGGGTCCAGGGTGAAAGGATCCCTGAACATGCAGACCGGGATAAGGTACATGTCACTGTTGGAGCCTTCGGCCTGGTACGTGCTCGAGCCATCGAAGTTCCATTCAGGAATTTCTGTCAAGATCATTTTACCCAAAATATTATCAAAGCATCTCCTCTAAATATAATTCATAAATGGATTTCCACTATTCTGTACCTGATAAACCCACAGACCATCTAAGCTCAAATACTGCTGAGACAAAGTTTTTTAAATACTTTACTAGCGGCTAAATGTTACTGCTAAAGAGCCAGATATTTGGTCACTAGCTCATCTAAGAGTGGGACTCAAAGCTTTTTCGCTGTAAACAGCACATAAATCCACATAAAGTGTCATTTTCACCTTTTTGTACAGATTAAACAAACAAGATGTGACATGCTAATTAGTGAACTGTGGACAGAGCCAGTCTGCAGTTTTTATGTGAAGCTAAGCTAACTGGCTGCTGGTGGTAGCTTCATACTAACTGTACAGATATGAAAGTGGTCTCTATCTTTCTATTGAACTCTCACCAACAAAGTGAATAAGTTTATTAAGCAAAATGTCAAACTCTTCCTTCAGTTCAAACCATTGATTAGAGCAGCTTTAATTACCAGTACATGATAATTATATTAAATTGCTTGTGTTTGTGCCAAGGGGAACAGCAGGTCAAATACAGGTCAAATGGACAATTTTACACAATAAACTGTATCATTAACAGTTAACTGATTCTAAACTAGACCAATGTACTGAGCAGTAACAAATATTTGTTCTCCAGCTTAACATGCATATTACTGGGGTTGCACCAGGATGCTCTAACACCTGTGTTGTGTACAATAAAGGCGTGCTGCAACCCTCCCAGACAGCACAGCTGCACAGTTGTGCAGTTGTGCTTATTCTCATAATTCCTACAATAATCTATACAAACACCCCCCATCTCTCGATCTAATGCCTCAGATTTCCTCTAATCTGCAAGATTTGAATATAAGAGCGGCCTTAAACTTATTCCATGAATGTTTTACCTTCATTGTCATATGAAATGTTTAAGAAGTTTCAAGTAAAATGACCTTTCAATCCACTGACTTCTGTATAATATTTGTTATGTTATATTATAAAATATTGTTTTTGGTCAAATGCTTCTCGCCCCAAAACTAATAAATCATTTTTTAAAAAAGAGGTCATGTACCTTCTATGCTTTCAGGTTCTTTGTCCAGGGTTCGGGTCTTGTTGCGAAGCCCCTCTCCGGTGCCGTCGATCCAGATGTAGGTGACCTGGCACTTGTCTCCCTGCGGCAGGCTCATATACTGCTGGCGCACGGCCTTGTTGAGGCGAGAGCTGGGCGACACTGATGCCATGTTCACCTTCAATCAGAGAGAGGCCGAATACAATGGAGGTGTGTCTTCATTGGTTCAGATGTTTTCATTACATAAAAACACACTACACCTTTTTCATTACTCTGTGGAGCAACTCAGCTGGGTTTGTGTTTGGTCAGGTGAGAAACCTGCAGGGCTTAAAATGAAATGTTTGCATGGATGGAAGTTTTCAGTGACAAGCACTCACAAAAAGCAAACAGTGAGAAAGACAAAACAAAACGACATCTGAGTGAGAATAACAGTTTGCAGTGAATGTGAGACCTTCACTTTCGGCATGCTGAATATTTTGCTTGTGCTCTTTCTGAAATACAATGACTATAAATAAAATTAGAATAGTAGAAAAAACACAATTTGATGTCTAGTTTCTGAAGCTTGAACTCTCCCATCGGCTCCTCTTAAATTACATATGATTTTTGTTTTTATATTGTAATATTATTACAAAATCTGTAAATATTTATATTCATCAGATTATAATATTATGTTTAAACAAAATTTAAAGCTTCTATACACTGCATCTGAACAAAAATACAACTCTTTATTCCATTTTCTTTTACCTCTCCTTCAATTACTTTTACTTTTTTAACTGAAGACCTTTAATACTACAGCAATGTGTAAAACAAAATTTCACAAATAACATATCAGAATTTTTGATGAAACTGTCAAATCAAACTTTATACTTTTACACAGTTTCACCTTAAATCTGAAAATAAAAAATGTAGAAAACTTCCACAAAAACTGGACTTTTCAAAGCTTTAAAATCTCACTAATGTAATCCTGGTCGTGCTGTACCATTTCATTTAGAAATGTCAATATTTGCAGCAGACACAGCATTACTTTTGCTCATGTCACAAACAGGAAGTTTAACTTTTATACATTAACAAATTATGAGCAGTATTCAATAATTATCAGAGTAAAGAACAACAGTATTGGGACTTACTGTGTTGCTGGTGACTTCAGGTGAAACTAAAGATCAAGAAGACAGCTCAGTGTGTGTCGTGCCTAAACCTGTTTGTGGTATTTAACTGGACTGTTAATTACCATGATGATGACACATATCAACGTGTCCTTTACGTGTTTTGTCATTTCAATGCGTACTGTGATTGTAGGTGCGTTTGCATGGCATACAACATGGTGTTTTCATTAGACTAAATTAGATCCTTCAAGTCTCTGGCCGCTAGTAAAAACTAAAGCTGTGACAGTGTTTGAAAGATTACTACTCTTCTTCTTTGTCAGCTCATTGAAATGAACCTTCTCTGTCAAAATCAACCCATTCTGTCTCATTCATTTTAAAAACAATAAGTCAGTCAAAGCACTGCACAGGCACAGCTGAGCCCAACAGAAACTCCCATGAGAAATAGTAATGAACACCCACCTGTGCCTGAGAGGACATCTGCTGATAGTGACCGAGCGCTGTTTGCTGAGCAGAGTCTTGCAGCTCACTGAACACAATTAGAGACGAGAAGCTGCTCAGATGCTCAGTTTCCATCAGGTAAGCTGTCCTGAGATCAGCCAGGAGGGCAAAAAATGTAACAGCTTCTACAGAAACAGGACGGGTCACATGGGACAAAGACACAAGCAAGGTAAGCTGCTTAAAGGGCTGAGGAGCCACAAAGGGCCTCCAGGGCCCCAGACAACCAAATTTAAAAAATGCTGTATCCAAAAACTTTTCAAGAACTAACAAAAAGGTCCATTTTCTTTTAAATGTACAACAAAACCTTTTTCAAACCTTTTCAATTATGTCACCTGTCTTTATCTCATTAATGTTTTTGCAGCCATGCTTGTGGTGTAGCTCTACTGGGATGGTAAAGTTGTTCGTGCCACCATTTCAAACCAGACTGAAATATTACAAAATCTATTGGACAGACTGACATGAACCTTTGTGCAGATATTTGAGGTCGCCCAGAGGATGAATCCTACTTTGGTGATCCTGACCTTTCCTCTAACGCAGTAGGTCAAAATTTTCACTTACACAGTGAATTGACTGTTTCTGTCTCTGTTTTGCTCTGTGTGCGTTGTACAAGTGATGAAGTTTGGTTGGTTCAGCTGGACCTCATCATATATCATTAACATTTTCAGAGGATGAGAGGCACTGGATGTACAGTCAGTGCCCTCAGCTCACTCCCTTTCCTGAATATTGTCTGAAATACAGGTAGCTTATGGTCACGCATTTTATTTGTTTTGCTATCAAGAATTCTTTGACACCTTTCACCAAACAACAAACTTGATGCACCGCATTCTTTTGCACGGTTTGGTTTTTCTTGCTGTTCAACATTCGAGTTATAAATACCAACTCTCAGAACAAACAGAAACAGACTAATGCACACTACATTAATATAAACAACAGGGTAATAAATGGTCAGTTCAGAGGTTTTCCGATATCCTGTCCGATACCCCTGAAACGTCACGCAAACTGCATCCTCCACAATACAAGGGAGGTGAATGTACAAAAAATGTGACGTGTTTTTCATTGTCGCAGATACTGTGTTTAATCCACAGACCTCACTGTTTATCAAGACTTTATTGCGGAAAATGGGGGCCGAGCTCTCAAAAACAATTTAAGCCTCAATGTAACATGAAAAAAAGGTTTAACAATCTGCATCTACAGAGGTCATCTGCTGGATTATGCTCCTGAACGTCACCCTGGGGTGTCTCAAAGAACAGCAGAGCCTGTTCACATACAGTGCATTCAGAAAGTATTCAGACCACAATTTTTTTTCACATTTTATTATGTCGAAGCACAACTCAAGACACACTCAAGACCCCATAACGACAAAGCAAAAACAATTGTAGATTTTTTTGCAAATTTATTAAAAAGAGAAAAACTAAAATATCACATTGACATACGTATTCAGACACTTTGCTATGACACTTGAAATTTAGCTCAGGTTCCTCCGATTTCTCTAGCTTGTCTTTGAGATGTTTCTATACCTTGGTTGGAGTCCACCTGTGATTGGACCTGTTTTGGATAGGCACACACCTGTCTATATAAGGTCTCACAGCTGACAATGCATAATCATATTGTCCAATAATCAGGAGATCAGCAGTTCAATTCTTGGTTCTTCCAGATTCTCAGTTCTTAGGAAAGATACTAGTCCCCAAATTGCCCCCGATGTAACATCGGTGAGTGAAAGAGCGCGTGTGATAAAAAAAAGCACTGTAAATGCGAAGAGGTGAATGTGACTTGTCGTGTAAAGCGCTTTGAGTGATCGATAAGACTAAAAAAGCGCTAGGCCTATATAAATGCAGCCCATTTATCACAGCAAAAACCAAACCATGAGGTGGAAGGAAATGTCTGCAGAGAGACAGGATTGTGTCGAGACACAGATCTGGGGAAGGATACAATGATGGTTCCCAAGAGCACAGTGGCCTCCACTGGAACAACCAGGACTCTTCCTAAAGCTGGCTGCTCGGGCAAAGTGAGCAATCAGGGGAGAAAGGCCTTGGTAATAGAGGTGACCAAGAACCCAGTGGTCAGTCTGGCTGAGCTCCAGAGATCCTGTGTGGAGATGGGAGCTCTCTGTGCCTTTCAGTAAACATATTCTGCTGTTGCTGTTGACTTGGCCCATTTTGCTGCTAAATTTAGCTGTGCTGCTAAAGTTGAAGGGCTAGACCGCCACATTGGTCCAGACTGAAATATCTCAACAACTTTTAGATAATAAAGAATACATTTTGCACTGATCCATGGCTAGATGAATGCAGGACTTTCTGCCCTGTTAGCAGCATGTAGAACTTTTGGGTTGAAATATCTTGAAAATAACTTTGGAGATATTTGATATACTGCAGCTTTTCATCCTATCAACATTTCAGTTTGTCCAATACTTTCATTTATGACCAAATACAACAACAAAACAACAACGACACACACAAAAAAATAAACACTACCGTAGTTCCAAAATATGATGAAGATCTAGTTCCAGCACAGGATGACAACCAGGCTACAGCTTATGCTGAAAAATCTGAACTATTCCTACTCAGTAATGCGCATAGTATCTCCCACCTTCTGTCCATATTATTTAAAGCTTTTTATTGCCTCTTTATTTGATAGTTGACTTTACTGAGGCACTGAGGAGAAACGGGTCAAACAACATGACCTGTGGACATGGTGGTAACACGGTACATCTTAGACCAAACATCCAGGATGCCCCTGATATTTCACATTTAACCATCAATCACTTCAAACAAATGTGAAGGGAATGTCTGATGCTGTTGAGTGGTTGCCTTTGCAGTACAAAACAAGGAACTGTGCTCAGAACAACATTTTGCTTGTTGGAGGTTAGTACACAGATGAGAAGAGGCTCTAACACTGATCTGATGAAGGCCAGTCATGAAGATCATCAGATTAACACACAAAGCCTCATATTTCTGAGTAAAAATGCTGCATTTTTGGCCTTTTTTAAAATCGTACCTTCTCCTGAAAAATCCCTAAAAATGTTAAATGGTTTATGTTACACAAATATCCACAGTATTGAATGGTTCAAATGCCCAAATGTGAGTGTAAAAATGAACGGATCAGACTTTCAGACAAGTATGCACTCAGAAGTAACTATTCTTCAACAAGTGTCCGTTTGTGTCTGTCTTCCCTCTTCATTAGGCTTTTCTCACAATGCGTCCGCTCTTCCTCAGGTCTCTCCCTCCTCTGTCGGTCCTGATCGACCTGCTGCTCGTCCTCCAGGCTCCATGACACACCCGTGAACTGAGGGGGAAGCACAGGTAATTTAAACCTTTGTGATTTCACTAGAAGGAGAACACACGCCACATCACTTCATTTCATAAGATGAATAAGTTGTGTAACTTTTCCTGTAATCAAACAACAACATTCCAATCGACATAGTTGGTGTATTTTTGGTCTGGGAGCTGTTTTCATGGTTTAGTTCAGGTTCATTTCCAGTGACAGTAAATCCTAACACAACAGCATACAATAATACTTTAATATATAATAATGACACAGGAAAAAGCAAGTAAGTTTTTACTAATGGGCAGAACTGGAATATTAAACTTCTCACATAATAACAGGTGGACTTATGACACCTGGGCAAGTTTCATTAACTTAAGAGGGCCAGATATGGTTGAAAGCCTACAGGAAAAAAACTAGTAAGTGAACTTTAAGTTGAGAATATTTTATCAGTGTTCAGGTCAGAAATTAACCTCCATATTCAAAATTTTATATAGATTCTATTATATAGACCAATTAAAGCCTAAAGATTTTTTGTGAGTGTTTGCATTGATAATCGATATCAGCCAATCTTTTGGCTACTACTGGACTGTCAATCACAAGGTCATAACAGTGCCTCCATATTTACCAAAACAAACATGCAGATGCTCTCCCCCCCCAGCGCGCACACACACACACACACACACACACACACACACACCTTGAGCGTAGCAGAGGTCCAGTAGCCAGTTTGCGGGGCTTGGCGCTCTGTCTTCGGTACTGCATCCAGCCGCAGACCAGCTCGTGCGCGATCATCATGTACAGTAGGAAGATGAGCACGGCGGGATCCATTCGGATGCACGCGCCGCTGGATGAGAACCGGCAGGCGCAACTAAAACCGGTCCCAATGAGAAAGAACAGTGCCGGGCTGCGGGATGAGAGATACTTGTTGATGATGACGAAGAGGAGGATAGCGTCCTCGTGCCCAACTTGTCCACTCCAACTTTAGGTACTCAAGTCGCGAGGCACAAGCTGCTGCTGCGATAGGCGCTCGCGCTCCACCCATGACAACACAGCATCCTCCAGACTCATCAGTTCACCGCGTGAGACGGTGATTTTTCTCTCTCACTGACAACAGATGAGAGTCACGGTGACAACAGCAGAGAGGGGACATCGGATGATGTTGCCGTAGAGACGCAACCGTTGCTAGGGGCAGGATGTCGTCATCACCTTTTCCTAAAGATGAACGAGGCATTTGACCAAATCAGAGCCATGCAGAGAGCTACCAATCAAGAGCAGGCACCGATGTGTCCTCACGCTTGACTGCTTTATTAGGCTACCATTCATCCTCTGAAGAAGGATGTGATTACTCATTAATTGCCCTATCAGTTATTTTTTTATCTGTATAGTTAATTGATAAATATTTAGCCCCAAAATTTGTATAGTATGGGCTGGAGTATATTATCACTGTGCAACCTGACAGCCAGAAAGGATAACGAGACAGAAGAACAATAAAAATCTGCTGTACAAAAAATAATTTATTTTGAATTAAATAGTTAATCAGTTAAAAATTAGTTCATTAATGTCCTTGATAATTACTTTTTATTGATTGACACTGACTTTGAATTGCTGCTCTAACTTTGAGAAGAAAACATTTCAAAATTCATGTCAAACCACCCACTACAACCAAAGTGACTGAAAAGGTTTTCAAACTAAAATACGTATAAAACAAAGATTCCAGAGAATGTAATTTTTTCGGATTTTGAGGAGTGATCATCAAGTCACCTTTTTCACCGAAATATATATATTAATATTTTTACCTCATGAATTATCAATTGGCATTTTTGCTACAATCCGGCATGTCTACATTGCATATTTAGTACTGATGTCCATTAAGGTGCATTGTCTCTATCAAATAAACAATCAAATAAATAAAATTTTCATTTCACCAGTAGACCAAAAAACATACTGACACCAGTGTTTCAGAGCTCAACTTTAATTCGTTTATCATTAGTGCTCAATTATGTCTTGTTTCAAAGCAAAGTTAATCCTCCAACACATCCAACAGAATACAGCTGTCCTACAGCCTTTTTCCAAACAGCAGCATCCTATCTACTCCCATAATGCAACTCGTTAATATCTTTCATTAGATCCGCCCTGCCTGGTAAACTCACATAAGATTCAAATGCCATGTCCCCAGTTCATGCTTCCTGTTGTAAAGCTGGGATACATGGGTGATGGCTTAGTGAGTGAATTATTTTCTCATATTCGGCAAAGCTCCTCCAGAGCCACGGAAAACATTGTACAACTGGTTTCACAGGGTGAGTGGTACATATCATAATTAGTAACCTGGAGAAGTGCTTATTTAAACCACAATATAGAAGCCCAACCTGAGTTCCTCTAAAACCAGACAAAGGTGATTCAGTCATGTTGCACAATACTGTTGGAACCACCTTACACATCCAAAATGGATCCTAAATATCTGCATGCAAACAATCATGGGTTATGGTCAGTCTCACTTTTAAATAAAGCTAAGCTAATTTCCATCCATGACATGTTTGACGTTCTGCTTCTGACTTCCATCTGTCCGTCCTCAGGCAGAGAGCTGCGACCGTCGTGGGCTCCACCGGATCTCAGGCAGCGGCGCTGATTAGGCCTTCATCAGTGTTTCAGCATGTGGGCTGTGTGTTTTGTGTATGTGTGTGTGTGTGTGTGTGTGTGTGTGTGTGTGTGTGTGTGTGTGTGTGTCGTGTAGGTATGTGTGTCATGTAAGGGCGACACAAGCAGTTCTCCTGCTGTGATATCGCCTTCATTTCACAAAGCCACCTTTAGGTGGCAGGACCACCGCTCCCCCAGCCTTACGCCACCTCCATCTCTTTGACATTAGTAGACTCCTGCAGAAGCACAGGAAGAAGAGTCGATCGTCAGTGAGCACAACTTTAATATGGCCAGAACTAGTCTAGGAAAGATAATAAACTTGTTAGTAAACAGTAATATTGTTCTGTATCAGTCTTCTCAATGGCCCTGCCAAAAAAACAAAAATAATGAGTCCTATGAATAGTTTATCTTGGACTTTGGACAGGAAAACTCCAGTGGACACCGCTATGCTTCATCTCTGCTTGATAAGAAACTAATATTTTGTATTTTGTAGTCTACTTTCTCACTAGATAGATATATTAAGATGTATGTATATATATATATATATATATGTATATGTAATTATCTATTAAACTGTGCTTTCAGAGTACAAATGAACAAGGATGAGTATATGGTCTTGCCACCGTATCAAATAAATAATGAAATAAAACATTAGTCATGAATAGTACACTCACATAGACATGATTGAAGCCAGCTTCCATAGGATGGTTCTGTGCTGGTGGAACCATCATACGGTCTTGCTAAAATGAACAAACATTATCCAGTAATCAGTCATGCTACAGGAAAAACTGCTGCTAGCTACATTAAAGCTAACGTATGCTACTTCTTTGTGTTAAAAACAGTGGTATTTTATGTCATCTGCAGGGTGGGCTCTTAGGTTCTAGTAGATATGTGGCTGGTATGTTTAGTGTGGTTGGATCATTTTATCAATTGAGAAATGAACAAAGTGTTGAGGATGTTATTTAGTCGGTTAAGGACATTTTTATTCAGCTACAACAACGACATGACCAGTGTTACAAATGCTGCCCTCTGCTATCTTTGTTGTAGAGCAGTATCATTTAAATGACACTTTGCCAACAATGGCAGAAAGTTATAGATTTATTGACTTCTTCTCAATATTCTGAGTTAATCTTTGCTCTCCTTCTTCTCTGCTCTGTTATTCTCTCTGTTCTTTGTTTCATTTCAGATTTGCTACCTTACATCTCTGGTGGCAGCCTTTGTGGTTTCCTTGTTCATTCAGCTCCTAGTTTAGCATCTAGCGAAGCCTAGCATTCTAGCTTAGCTTCAAATAATCTGCAGTTAACATACCCTCGCTCACTGTATCACAATAGTTCTTGGTAACTGTGCCACCCAGGAGAAACAGTGTGTCTTGGCAACTTAAGTTGTAAGTTGTTGTTAAGTTGTAATAAACCAGCATTATCCTTTAGTACTGTCAAAGGTTTGAATATCAGATGAACTCACTGTGAGGTCTGGCTCATATGATTCATTAGTGAAACCACCACCAGTTGGGGGAGATGATGATGATGGACCAGTCATAGCCTGGACTTCTGGGCGGATTCGCAAGTAGTAATACAGCAGGGAGACCAAAGTGGCGATCAGCAGCAGGACCACGATGACAGACGCTGCCATCCCTCCTCTGTTGTCACTTCTTTTTGTGGCTACAGAGGAGATGGAAAACATTTAGCTTTTGGTTTTACTGGAGAGTGTGCGGAAGACAATGGGAACACATTACACTGCAGTGAGACATTCTGTCAATGGCCTGAAATGCTGGTTTTACATGTTAGGCCAGTGTTGCCAATAAATAATTCCCTTCCTGATAAACCTCTTTAAAAGCATATCACACATTTTCATTCTAACATTGAACCTTCTCGACAGCCATTTGTTTCAAAGTGCTATGACTGTCAACTTGAAAATTGACTTTTAAAAAAATGAAGATATAAATTAAAATGCTTGCTGTTTAGCAGCATAGTTATATGTTAGTGTGTCCTTGCAGCTGCATTAACCCAACATGTTAAAATAAAGGGAACTGTGCTGCGTTACTGATCTCAAGCAAATTTTACACATTCGTAAAATGATCTTCAGATTGTAATATTGTAAGTAACTGGATATTAATGTATGATATACAGTATTATAATTATTATCTTTTTTGATTGTGAAAAAAAATAAGATTTAAAAAATTAATTTTGCAGTGCAAAAACTTCCCATATTTTTATTCACTTTCTATAATTGGAAGCATTTTCAGTGCTGCTTAAGTCACAGTTACTGTAACCTGCAGAGGTCGGTTTGCTCTTACAGCAGAGAGCTCAGCTCTGTTTGGGTGTGTGGGGACTTAAAATCTGGATAGACATCAAATTGGATCAATCTGCCTCTTTTTAAAATTTTCTTCTGGAGAAAATCAGTAAAAAAAAAAAAAAAGGCCATAAACAAACACTATGGTTAAAAACGTGCAAAACCACATGCATGGCTCTTAAAATCTAATGCAAGATTTGGGACTTCAGCACTTACTTATTGGATCTGTGACTTCCTTAGCGCAGTTGACCCCAATGGTGTACTCAATGTCATCCAGAGCCAAAGTGCCTGATGTACCTTTCATTCCTTCAAATACAATCTGTTCACAAGACAAGACAACAACAGCAGAAACAACAGACAGCATTGTTAAAGAAACCTGAATGCAAAAGTAACATACCGTTTCTTCTGCAGTGGAGAAGACTACATAGGGTTTAGGTGTTAAAATCACTATATTAGTATATAGATTAAACACAGTTTTCTCGCAGGTGAGAGTCTGACCTGGTATTCCTCAGTGGACGTGATGTTGATGTCAAAGCGTCTCCATGGTCTTCCCAGGTCATTCACCACCAGCAGCTGATGGAGACGACCTTCAGACAGCCTCCACACCCACAGCCGACTGTCCGCTACATACATTCAAACAATAAACATGGGTTGTGTAATAAAATACGAAAAAGTAAATGCATCGCACACATCAAGACGCCTGAATCTGCCAAACCAGAGATGAACTAGGCATAAAAATTGATCTAAAAAATGGATCATTACATGAGAGGGGTCTCCAGGCCCAGAATCTCAGGCAGGTGCCCTTGGTTGGGGGCAGGTGAGGGCTCAGCAGCTGAGCGTTTTGACTGCCTGCTGTCCGATTGCTGCTTGGTAAGAACAGGAAGTGACCTGGCAGAAAGAAAAGGGAAGGTGGTCGGTTTTACACTTCAGTACATTTTTGCTACATGTTGTCGGATAAACACAAAAAAGGACACAAAGTGTTGCTCTCTACCCCTTGGGCCACAATATCCACAGTCACAGTATCTCTGTCCCTGTGTGTCTCTGCTTTACCTCTCTTTGTGCCCAGAGTGTGGTCCTCAGTTGGGGTGGAGTAGTGCCTCTCCGCCTCCTGACTCGTCAGCTCCCAGTCCAGTTTGTCAGCTTTAATGTTTTGAGTGTTGCTCCAGCTGCACATCCCTCTCTCCAGGTTACACCTCGAACCTGAGATATTTCACAGAACAGAAACGGACACTTTCACAAAGAAGGTACAGCTATGTACTGTTCTTCAGGTTAAAATGCTTACCAGGATCCTAATTGTAGCAGCTTTTGTGTTGTTAAAAGTCTATGTCTCTGTCTAATGTGTCTCTACTTTGCTTTGTGTAGCCTTTTAATTTGATGTGGCCTTAGTATCCAAAATTGGGATAACAAATTCTAATATTAATAATAATTTGTGTACTCTTTGATTATGCTGACTATTGTATAGCATTATATTTTACATTGTATTAATAATAATCTGATGTATTTATAAGACTCAAAGTGCAATGATATAAGTGAGTAAAATAGTTTAACAACCTCCCAAAACACATGGGCATACATTTCCCATAATGCAACTCAACATGGTTTTTCATCATAGCATCCCTGCCTGGTAAATGGCCACGTCTTTAAAACCCCATAGCACAGACTTTCTGCTGAGAAATCCTTGATGAATCATTGAACAGGCTGAATAAAGCTCCCTGTGACAGTAAACTGAACATATTGTGGAAAAATCAGTGAGAGAGCTTCTTTAAAGAGCTGAAAAATTGCATGGCGACCAGGAGAAACCAAACGTCTGTGGCTATAATATTACCTTTTTCACTGTAATCTAACTGTGATGAGTAAAAACAAAAAAGAGCGCTCACAGGTTCTAGTCTGAAATTGCACCATATCTCCCAGGTGAACCAGCATGCTAAAACTCTTTTGAGTTCCTCCTTAATTTTTATAAGGCAGAGTGATGCAAACCTTGACTTTCACATGGGTGAGCTGAAAGGAAGATGTCATCAACTGCAACGTGAGTGTCTTTGCCTCCAGCGCCAACCACCTCAAACTCCAACTGCAGAACAACATCAGCACAGGCGTCAGCTCGTTATATTGCACACACAAACAATCTTACAAATGAAAGTTTACAAGGAATGGTTCTCTAAAATTGCTGGGTCAAATTCTGCTGGAGAGATTTCCTTAAAAGCCAGTCTGGGGATTTTATTGGCAACAAAAAGTCAATTGTACAAAAAGGCCGAAGAGAATTAACTGTGAGACGGAATATATTAGAAAGACAGATACAGTCTATAGTTACAGGCAGAATGCTGAAACATAATGTATTATTTCCCATATTTGTCATGTTTCACCACTTTGTTGGTAATAATTTATTAATTGCAAATGGGAGTAATTACTTAATTTATTTTCCGTGCATAAAATAATCAATCACATCATTACTGGCCACTTGAAAAGACTACAATTGTTCCATCAGCCCCCTCCAGCCTCCACACTGTACCTGCCAGTCCACAAGGGCACTCGAGATGTTGCCGTTGCCATGGCGCCAGACATCTCCTTGATTCAGACTGTCAGAGAAGATCTTCACCCTGTCTCCCTTCACTGGCTTCATGTACACTGTTAGAGAACCTGCAGAGTATGCACTGTTAAACTGTGTTTTGTTTATTTGTTTATTTCTTTATTTTTTTGTGCATGTTTTGTGTGTGAGGGTGTCTCACCAGGATTCACTCCTCCCATGTGATACCAGAAATGCACACACTCAGTCCTGGCGGTTCCCTGACGAACAGGGGACGTGAGGACTGCAGTGCTGCCGGAGGGGAGAATGTTGGCTGCGGTGTTAGCCATCATGTAGAAACCTGAGCACCAACCAGAAACAAGATGGTCTCAACTCACTGTCTCTCAACTTTCTGCTCACATGGTAAAATATTTAATGAGACACTCTCTCTCTCTCTCTCACCCAGCTCGGTCTCCAGAGTGTGGTCAGTTTTGGGTCCAGCTATCGTGGTGCTGTATCCGCTGCGGTGGAGCCAGTGAGCTTGACCAGAGCTGGTGTATCCACAGCGCTGGCCTTCAAAGGAACACATCCTTGGCACGGTGCATGGACGGGCCACAAACGCCACATCATCAATGGCCACCTGCCCGTCAAAGCCGGAGCGAACCGCCTCAAACATCAGCTGTTGGTAGATAAAAAAAGTTGCAGACATTGGAATGGAAGGAAGATAATGTCAAAGTAGTTTTTTCTTTTTTTATAATACTGGGAAACAAAAACTCCAACGTGTTGTTTTATTTTACCACAAGGGGGCACAGTTTCTCAAAAACCCCAATCCAACTGATTCTTTCACTGCACTGCCCCCCTTCATGTCACTGTGCTGTCCCCCTTCATGTCACTGTGCTGTCCACTTTCATGTCACTGTGCTGTCCCCCTTCATGTCACTGTGCTGTCCCCCTTCATGTCTCTGTGCTGTCCCCCTTCATGTCTCTGTGCTGTCCCCGTTCATGATACTGTGCTGTCCCCCTTCATGTCACTGATGTTTACTATGAACCATACGTTTTGTTTTGTGATGTTTTGTGAATGTTGAGACATTGATTAATAACTTCAGACTGACTGAACACATTCCTACCCGAAAGCCTGTGGGCTGTTGTGGCACTGTGCAGTGGGTTTCGTGCCACATGTTGCCATGAGCCCCACTGCGGGTCCAGAGGACGGTCTCATAACCGTGTTTATCTAACAGCTTTACATTCAGGGCACCTGGACGGGGTCAGTGAGTGGGAGAGGATGGTATGAGAAGACATCATATGACATTTTCGGATTATTTCCAGCTTGGATCAAGATAATATTTCCTGACAAACCAACATACAGTATCTGCCATTCTCTGTCAGTTTGTGATCAAAAGCACACATTTGGAAAAAAAAAAGTTTTAACAAACAGAATAATATGACGTCAGTTACTTCAGATATTTTTTTCCCTTTAAAACATATTCACATGGTTAAAGAAATTATGCTTCATTATCATTATTTAACTCTAAACTGCTTCCTGTTCAGTCACATCCTCACCTGTGTTCGGCCCATAGAGTTTGTAGAAGAAGGACAGGCACTGATCTGTGGAACTTGGTAACTGTGGAAATGAAACTAAGCGTCCGAACAAACCGCGCAGGGAGGGGCTCCACATGTCCACAACAAGGCTTTTGCCTGGACAACAACAGAAGGGTGGGAAGGGAAGTTAAGTCAGCTTTTAAAGCATCACAAGTACAGCACTGACTCTTTATATTCTACAACTAATGTATCTTCTTCAAATGTACTTAATGATTTATAGTGAGCATGACTGATGCAATTTATGAGCTATATGTCAAGTTGAGCACATTTATAACAGATATGACTTTGTCACTTTAGCTCTTTTACAGTTTACTATTTATTAATGTCATATCACTGATTAAAAGTGCAAAACCACAGATGGAAACTAAGTACATTCACTAAAATACTGTACTAAAATATGTTTTGATGTACTTGCATTTAACTTGAGCATATTGTACTTTTCACCCCACTGCGTTTATCTTACAGCTATCGTTATAGTTGTTCCTACATTCAAATGAAGATTTTACATAAAAACGTTTATAAAATACAACACACTGTTGAAGATTTATCCAGTGGTTTCACATCTGTTTGGCTTGTGACCTCTTACAAAACAGCAGTGTTTAGTTGGGGCTCCTTGTCACATTTCACATCACCCCATTAACACTTGCTAACATCGTTCGCAGCTCCACCAAAGACAGATTTTTCCTTCTTCTTTGATGGGTTCATTTAAATAAATTCTTAAGATTATCAATATTTCACAAAACAAAATGGGAGAAAAAATATGAAAAAATGAATATAATTTGTGTTTGTGTTCTTCTGTTCTACCCCATTAATCATCCTTTGGAGGGGTCTGACTCCTTAGGTCGGACATTAACAGCAACCACCCAACTTTGACCATGATACTTTAAAAACATTTTCCTCATAATACATCTTTACATTTATTTAAGTAGGATTTTGAAACCAGGGCTTTCACTTTTAATGGGGTATCTTTAGATTGTTGTATTGGTATTGAATCTGACTACATCACTAAATGTCTAAAGTCCCATCCTAATCATTTATCAATTTAAAAATAAAAAAGATGTTTCATTAATGGATGGAGCGCCATGTTTTCACTCCATCTTCACTGACACTTTCTGGATATAATAATAGCTTGCAGGCTTGAGGCTGTGTTGGGGCAAGAATAACATCCCAAATGTCAGAATGTAAGAACCCATGAAAAGATAACTCCCACACACTGACTCTAAATCTTGGACCTGACACAAATCCAGCCGGGATCAAAACATATAGTGTTAATTTAATTAAATCTGTGTGGCCTTACTCCTTTCACTGATGCTGACACGTAACTATGAGCAATATGAATATTTATCCTCTCTCATTGTGTACATAAAATTATTTAGATAGATGACATAATGGCCAATACACCGAACAGTAAGACACTTATAATGACTGTAAAAGCTGCTACATAACATTAACATTGCCACAAACCATTGAAATCATTTTTTCATTCTTACTCTATTGGACACATTCAAAATGTGATGTTTTCTAACATTTTTAATTGAGCTCACCGATCCCGATGGTGTGGTCCATCCCACTGAGCATCGTCCAGTCAAAGTTGTCGCTGTTGTCCTGATACCATCCACACAGGTCATTTTCAAAGTTACATGACAGTCCTGAACAAAAGACATTTTTTCAGTCATTGGTTAAATTTAAGCATTGAGATGTCAAGGTAAAATATGGATTGTGCAGTATTGTGTGATACTGTAAAGAGTCATGAGAACAACCTGTCGGAGAAGAAGGGAAATAGTCAGCGTAACAGCTGAGAAAACGAACGTTTTTCACTTTAATCTTGGCGCATGGACACAGTTTCACTGCGCGAGCTTCAAACGCCAGCTGGACAAGATAAAACAGAACAGATCTAATGAGTAACAAGACATTCACAAAATTCAACCAGTTCAGCTTTGACTGTAAAATAGATTTTGATCCAACTGTTTTCTTTCAACCAACTAAAGGTGGCAACAGGAAATGATCTTTGCTTCCTCTATAGCTGCTGTCCTGTACTTAACAAGTTCAGCTGTTTTCTATTATTTCCTATTTTCATATTTAATGTTGCCTTTATATTTTCCTTCTTGAAACTACCTGGTTAAAAATGTACTTTACTGTACGTTGGATTCAATATTTTTGATACTGACAGGCTTGAAAAGTCTCTTTGTGGCTTCATCAAAGCATAAATTTCACATTTAAAAAATATGTTTTTGAGGAGAACAGAGGTTCACATCTCTGAGCTGAATCTCATCATCAGGGGAAAAATTTTAAGTGTAAAAAAGTTAGAGTATATGAGCGTCATTAATGCCCTGAAAAAAAGCTGACCTGGAAGCGATGTTTTCTGGCTCCAAGAGTTACACTGGCATTTTGCCACTCAGCCTCTCCTATTCCCGTCTTCCCACTGAACTCCCACAGTTTAGGCTGCATGCCCAGCAAGCTGTCAATCACCCTGAGGGACACCTCACCTGCAGCAGACAGATGGTGACAGAGTCATGTCAACACATCTGAATTGTGCGCCAGGGAAAAAATGAAAAGAGTAAGAAGAAGGCATGTTAAATAATAAGTCCAACAGTAGTACCAATGTGATCTGGATTCCCAGTTACTGCAAAATCAAAGCTGAGCGTGCAGGCTGGACCAGAGGGGCCCAGGAGGGGGGTCCGTGTCTGGGCTTCAGTCAGCTGTTGTCCCGGGGCCTTGGCTACATACAGGTATTCCCCTAAGAAATGTCAAAGAGACAGATATTAAAAGATTTTGTCATTTTTTAATTACTACATATTAGCTAATGAGTAATCGAGTAGATGGATGTAAAGGTGGAGTAGATGTACCTGCCAAATTTTCATACATCCAACCTTGATTCCCAATGCTGGTATCAGTCCAGCCTGAGCTGCCCTCAGGGTAAGAGAAATCCCCTGCAGACAAGATTCATGGAGACATCACACTCAAAAAAAAAAAAAACCCTCTTAAATATCACAACAAAGCAACAGTGACATGCAGGATGCATGAGACATCAGGACAAGCATGTTTTGGCCCCTAAGAAATAGGCTAACAAAGAATTACAGCTAAAGGTCTCGTAATTTACACTTCCCCTGTTTTTTATTCAAAGTGTCGATCCATAAGAAGATATAAAATCATCTCAGTGTAGTTTTACATCTCCTCTCTCAGGCTTCTTTCTAGAGCTCTAGTAACAACAGTCAGGAGAGAGGAACTCTGAGCCTCTCTTCTGATTGGCTGACTGTTTTCTGAGTGATTGAATAAAAACTAAAATATAGCATTTGTAGTTTGTTTTTTTGGGTCACTCCCCGGTGGCACCTGAACCCTAAGGCTGATTAATTGAGCGTCAGCTGTCTCTGATAAAATCCTAAATACTTTGAATACTCTGATAACAGTAAGACAGTTGTAAATAAACTCACCACATTTGGCTTCATCCTCTGCTCCTGCACAGTCAGGGTGGAAGTTGCACATCTGGTCTGGTTCAGCACACGGGTCTTTAGGAGGTTTGGGGAACTTTGGGATGGAATAATTTGCTGTTCAAGAAGAGAATGTGAGACAGCAGATTTAGGATGGATGTGGAATTACATTTGTTCTTCTTTAAGTTAAGGTAGTTAGAGGGTTTACCAGTTGATGGGCGGCATTCAGGAGACAACATAATGCTGTCGACGGCGATACCTCCATATGCGAAGTCCCTGATTGCTGCCATTACTACGATCTATAACGAGAGAACACAGAGGAAGAGAAAAATAAGATGAATGGGCAAGAGGTGAATTTATTATATAGAGTCATTACAATTCTCTACATACAAAAGAGAATCCTTCATTTCCAAAGTGCTATACACCCATTTTATGAAATAAAAAATTACTATTTGAAATTCATTACTGAATATGTCTAAAACACAAAGCCCCTCACTTGTATAAGAATCATGAGTTTGTCAAAATTTTCTCATTCCTTGTCCTTTCTTTTGAAAGTAGGTGTTTTTTTTTGGAACAAAATTCCCATGAATACGCAGATATATATGCATAACAAAAAACTGCAGTAGAGAATTAGCAGATGCACTGTATATATGTGAGGTTCTTTAGAAAAAGTGTTGTCATTACATAATACCCGAAAAATGATAATTCAACAGTAAAATGTTACGCTCAGTTCAAATCCTGCTCACAACTCACACATTTGAGATCCTTATTCAAACATTTATTTTATTGTGTTCTGTTCAGTCCACTGACACTGCCCACAGATTATCATCTTTTACATTTTAAAGACTGATTTCAAAATATTTGTTGTATATTGTGTATTACTATATGAACCACCTGAGCACAAGGTTGTTGTGTCTGATTGTGGCTATACAGTAAATTTACTAGAAGTGTCGACAGTGTGTGGGAGTTACATTTTGTTATCTTGACTCATTTTTTACTCTCCTATGTCACCTGTCTGTGTACAGGTGTGCAAGGATCACTTTTCCCATATGCAAATGTAACATATATACTGTATATAAATATTGAATTTCCATACATGAAATATATGTACATACAGGCCCGGTTCTAGACTGCTTTTTAACAACAAACATTATGAAATGTTGACTGGTCACTAGCTGCCAGACTGCCAGTGGTTGTCTATGAGTGTCCTTTAGCACTGTAAGCTGTAACACGCACTGTTTCATGTTATCTAAAACTGAAGCCATAGAATCTAATAATACATAAGCCCATAATGTATTTAATTTCAAACCGCTACGTCTTGAAGGTGATCGCAAATGATCGACAATAGATAGTCACAAAAACCACAATCAGATCTAGAGATCAAATCTCATTGATTAACTAAAACTAAAAACCAGGCTGTTTTCATCAGAGTCGAGCCACTGAGTGAAGTAGGCTGGTAACCACAGAATAAGCAACTGAGTAGTGATGAAGTGAAATGATAGAGAAGCAACTGCTCTCCTCACTGTATCCAGTTTTATCTGACCAGACCAGCCAATCAGATATAAATAAAACTGTGATTATTTGAATGTGGTGCGTTTATGATTAAGGGGTCAAATGGACTTTGACCCCTTAATAAAGCAACTATCAGGAGGCTAACACACTAAACTACAGAGAAAATATGGAGGACATGGTAAACAGTGTGGTATGAGGTTTTTTTTTTCATTTTGGTGGCCTCACAGTGACAATGTGTTAAACACAACAATCCATCTGTCTATGAGCTGGAAACACTGTGGCCACCATGGAAGACAAAAATCAAACATTTCAGCTCAACGTTTGGTGAGTGAAACATGTTGAACAATTGTGCAATAGATTTAGTTTTTTGTTTCCATTTTTGGCACCATCGCTGCTCCCCATTCATATCAATGAGAGCGAGTAGATATTACAAACTGTCAGTATAACACAATACAGATCAACAACACCCCAAAAGTTAAATTAGCTCATCTCCAAAACAGTTTCGACACAATGTTCACTGAGGTTATACCACTGTTTTAGATCAGCATTCGTTTGACTCAGTGTAGCTAATGAACTGGTGACTCAGGGTGTGTTGTTCATCTAATACACAATACAGGCCACATTCAACTTCAATTACAACTCACATGGTGTCACACAATTTTATTAAAGCAGGTCACATGACTGAAGTTACTGTGTCTCAGGGAGTAGATAGGGGAAAAGAAAGGGGGGGGGGGTAGGGGAGGAGGAGGAGGAAGGGGAGGATGGGTTCCATTCAGGACATGGATTGCTTGAGGATGCGGTTCCTGGACATGCAGTAACCATCAATCTGCTCCGACAAGAGGCGGCTGCACTTCCTCTGTCCATACAGCTCTCTGAGTATGCGAACCTCTGCCTTCTTCCTCGCCTGCTCATCCTCATCCTGCTTCTTTCTGAGTCCAGACTTCAGTCTCTTGTGCAGCCAGTGCAGGGCCTTGGTGGATTTTGGTGTAGCTTCAGACCTGAGGCTCTTTCCTTCAGCCCTGGAGCTGCAGTGTGTCGTCTGCTCTCCAACCCAATTGTTGATCAGAGTTTTTCTCTGACCCTGTTCCTGGCTCTTCACCACAGAGGTCAGGCATTTTGAGCTGGTGTTGTCTTGCACATGGCGAAGCTCCGCCTCCTCGCGCCTCCTCTGCTGCGCCTTCTTCAGATCACTGATGGTGTATCTGGCTCTCATGATGCGCTGCCCCTTCACCATCATGACCTTTCTCCACTGAAGCCTCTCTGTCTTCAGTTGCTCCTGCTTTCCTTTCTCCACGGCCTTTTGAGTATCTTCCCTCCTCTCTCTTTTTGGCCTCCTACCTCCTCCTCTCCTCTTCAACTCTTTCCTTCTGCCTTCTCACACTCTCAGCTTCTTTATCTCTTTCCTCCTTTTCTCTCCTGCTCCTCTGAAGCTCCTCCAGAGCAACTCTTCTTCTTCTCTCCATCTCCATCTCTCTCAGCTTTTTAAAGCTCTCTCTCCTGAGATACGCCCTTCTCTCTTCAGGGGTCATTTTGCGAATGTTGTTGGCGATCTCTATCTCAGCGTGGAGTTCATGTAGTGGTCTTGCCATCTTCTTCTAGTTCACTTGTGCAGCTTGATCTGTGTGTGTGTGTGTTTTGCAGAGGTGTTTGGTGAAGTGATGCCGGTAAGAAGAGTGGTGGAACCATGGAACAGTTCCATCAGTTATTACACAGATTCCTTGATTCCCTCACAGTTCTGCTTCTAGAATGATCCGTGTGTCTGTTGATCTTCAATTGGGAAATTTGTAACATGCTTCAGCCACTGTAAAAGCACTTTTTAAAACTCCTCCAATCATTTAGCATCAGATCAATAAAGTTGAGGCTGAGATATCCTGACTCTCAGTCCCTAGCATGGGTTAACCTCCAAAAACACTGGATCCTACATTTCCCACAACTCCCCACACCTCATGAATTTGCCCTAGGGTACAAATAAAGTATCTATCTCTCTATCTATAGTGTCAAACACAGACTTTCTAGTTGCAAAGCTGTCACTACTATTTTCTCAGACTAGTCAAAGCTCTTCCAGAGCCACAGAAATATTCAACAACTTCCCACAGGCTGAGTTGTACTCATCACTAAAGGAACTTGACTTTCACAGTCTCACACTCTTGCTTGTGGTTTTGAATTGAGTTTGTGACTTAAAAATTCAGTAAGTATGCTCTTTTCAATCATGCTTGTGCCGTGGCCCTATTGAAGAATACGTAATGTTGACTGGATGGTCAGTAAGTCGGTTAGTCAGTCCACCATTTTGGTTCACAATGAAATAGTTGGACAAATATTCATTAGATTGCCATTACATTTTGTACATTCAAAGTCCCAAGAAGATGATTCCTAATGACTCTGATGATCTGGTGCCTTTTCATCTAGTCCCACCTACAGGTTGACATTATTGATTTAGATTGAAATGTCTGGACACAGGCCCGCAGACTGCTTTGATCATTAAGAGATGTTGACTGGCCACTAACTGCCCGACTTAAAGACTGGTTACTGGGATCCTCTATGAATGTCCTCTGATGAGACCAGGCTGTTCTCATCAGAGTCAAGTCACTGAGTGTGAGTGAAGTAGGCTGGTAACCAGAGAATAAGCAACTGAGTAGTGATGAAGTGAAAT